TCACAGCGCACGGTTCGCAAAGCACTCCTCTCCCTGGACATCCAGAAATCGAGTGGGCCTGACGGAATCCCCCCAATTGTGCTGAGGACGTGTGCTCCGGAGTTGGCACCGGTCCTAATGCGTCTTTTCCGGTACTCCTACTCCCAAGGCGTAGTCCCGAATTTATGGAAGACAGCTTTCGTCCACCCGATCCCTAAAAAAGGCGACCGCTCAGACCCATCCAACTATAGGCCTATCGCCATCACCCCCTTGTTCTCCAAAATAATGAAATCCATTATTAACTGCCAGCTCATGCGGTACCTTGAGGATCACCAGCTGATTAGTGACCGCCAATACGTTTTTCGTCGGGGTCGATCAGCTGGTGATCTTCTGGTCTACCTGACCCATAGATGGGCGCAGTAGACCCATGGAGGCAGTAGAGTCCAAGGGGGAGGCGTTGGCCGTTAGTTTGGACATTGCGAAGGCCTTTGATCGGGTTTGGCACAAAGCGCTTCTTTCGAAGCTCCCTTCCTATGGGCTTCCCGAGAAATTGTGCAATTGGATCACCAGCTTCCTTGCAGATCGGTGCATCAAGGTCGTTCTAGATGGTGCTTGCTCCGACTACAAGCCTATTAACTCTGGTGCTCCACATGGCTGTGTGCTATCACCAACGCTGTTTCTTATGCATATCAATGATATGTTGCTAACTGGTAACATTCATTGCTATGCGGATGACAGCACCGGTGATGCACTATACACCGGCCGTGCCAATATTTCTCGGGAAAACTTCGCCGAGTACCGGAACAAACTTGTGTCTGAAGTTGAGTCTTTGCTGACAAAGTCTTGGATTGGGGGCGACTAAATCTAGTCCAGTTTAATCCTCAGAAGACACAAGTTTGCGCGTTTACCGCTAAAAAGAAACCCTTTGTCTGTTTCAAGGCACTCAAGCCTCACTCTTGCCTCAGCCAGTATCAGAATCGTCGAAGTCGACATATCGAGTGACGTGCAGTTTCGTGGTCACTTGGAAGAGAAAGCCAAATTGGCCTCTAAAAGCTTGGCGTACCCATCAGAGCTGGACAGTATTTCATGCCGGCACACCGCCTGCAACTTTACAAGGCGCAGGTTCGGCCTCACATGGAATACTGTTCCCATCTCTGGGCAGGGGCTCCCCAGTGCCAGCTCCTTCCACTTGACCGCATCCAGCGCAGAGCGGCTCGAATCGTCGACGACCGAGTCCTTTCCGATCGGCTCGATTCATTGGCACTGCGAAGAGATGTTGCTTCCCTTTGCATTTTCTTTCGCATCTACCACGGGGAGTGCTCTGAGGAATTGTTCGGATTAATCCCAGCCGCCAAATTTCACGAACGCACATCGCGGTAGAATTCCCGATGCCATCCACACCATCTGGATGGTTGGCGCTCCACCACTGTGCGATTTAGAAGATGTTTTCTTCCTCGCACGACTTCCTTGTGGAATCGATTACCATCAGCGATTTTTTCGGACCGATACGACTTAGGGACCTTCAAGAAAAGAGCTTACTCCTTTTTAAAAGGCCGGCAACGCATCTGCAATTCCTTCCCTGATGTTGCAGTTGTTCATGGGCGGCGGTAGTCACTTACCATCAGGTGAGCCGCATGTTCGTTTGCCCCCTCTACTATAAAAAAATTAAATATATATATATATATTAACTAGCTGGCCAGGCAGACGTTGTTCTGCCCTCTCCGACGACCTTGTGTCCTATAAAAAATGTTGAGGGTCACTTATAGGGATAAAAACTATCCTATCTCTCAAGTTGGATCAAACTGCACACAGTGTGCAAAATTTCATTGCTATCAGTTTAGTAGTTTAGGAGTTCATCGCGGACAAACAATGTGACACGTAATTTTTATATATGTACTGTGAAAGCAGCCCTCGCTGTGTGCTTTCACACTACGCGATTTCGATCTCTGCTGCGATCATTGAAATTATTAACTAAGTGCTGATTTACCTCATGCTCAGCTGTGAAAGAAAACGTGAGACAACCTGCCTGATAAATATTTCGAAGACATGGAAGTTTGGCAACATGCATTGAGGCAGCGCGGTGGACATTTCCTTGCCCTAAAACCTTAGAATTGGTTGAACTTTGGTCTGGATATTTTACTTGTGATGTAAACAAGATGAAGATATGTCAAAGAAACTAAATCTTTTTTATTTTAAGGTACAAATAAACCTTAATGCTGTATTTATATAAATAAATAACATTGAAGTGTCTGTTTCTAATCTCAAAATAACAGCTTTTAGTTAAATGCATATGAAAGTACGAGGGCTGCACTAAAAGTATCGGGAATGGAATATTTCCACTGTTCCTGTCATATTAAATTTGTTTTAATTGAAAAGTCCTTGGTTTTAAAAATCGAATACCATTTATTTATTTAAAAAAAGATTCTCGGTCTTGTCACAAGGTTTTGTCAAACTTGTTTAGTCGTTGAGAACAAAGAGAATATAATCACTACGTTTAGTTGAGAAAATGGAATTGACTCGAGAAAATTCAAGAGCGATGATTTATTATGACTTTCGAAGTGGTTTAACACAAAAACAGTGTATTGATGATTTCTGCATTTGGTGATGAAGCCATGTTACGACTATTCCTCTTGAGGGACAAAGAACGGTTAATGCAGAATGGTATGCTAGCATTTGTTTGGCACAGGTCGTTTCTGAACTCTGTAAAGAGAACTGCAACCGCCGCATCATCCTCCATCACGACAATGCGAGTTCTCACACCGCACACAGAACAAAATAGTTTTTAGAGCAAGAAAACATAGAATTATTAGACCATCCGCAGTACAGCCCCGACCTAAGCCCTAATCATTTCTATACTTTCCCTAAAATAAAGAATAAATTGCGTGGACAGAGATTTTCATCACCTGAAGAAGCTGTGGACGCCTACAAAACGGCCATTTTGGAGACCCCAACTTCCGAATGGAATGGTTGCTTCAATGATTGGTTCCATCGTATGGAAAAATGTGTCAAATTTCGCGGAGAATACTTCGAAAAGCAATAAATATATTTTTAAATAGCAATGTTGTGTCACTTCCTTGATTCCCGAAATTTTCAGTGCCGCCCTCGTATACATATATGGTAACCAAAAAAAAAATCAGACCGATTTTGACGGAATTTTCGCTGAAAGATAGCTGATGTTATAAGGAGTATCTTTTATTTTAGAAAAATAATTAGGAGTCCGTGCAAAAAAAAAACATGAAATACTACTGTAGGGAACTGCAGTGGACTGTACCTATGTGATTTTACTTTATTTATGTTTATGTATGGGTGAAATACTACTAGGGACGTTTATTTAAAAGGAAAGGTGGTACACTTTAAAATACTATATTTAACTATTTACAAGCAGCAGTTGACTATAACTATATACACAAGAGGGGATCTTCTAGGGAGTCTTGATTTTTCTTTCTTGAGTGCCGCTGTGGAATTGAATGAATCGGAGCCCAAAGGGCCTTTCTTATATTCCCGCGGCGGGTGTCTCGGCACGAGCGTGTTCTCACGAGGAGTGCTGCACGTTGATTGGTCGGCGACATCACGTAATGTCCGGGCGGTGTGAGGGGCGTAACAGGGTATAAGGGGGCAACGGGGCGGCAGCTCCCCTCGCCGTCCGTAACAACTACCATAATGAATTCCACAGGGGCGAAATCGCGCGGAAAAGCTAGTAAATTATAAAAAGAAAGATATAGGTAAATGAATCATTTCGACTTTATTTGTGATTGTGAATGTAAATGTTTTATAATACGAAGAGACCAGACAAGATACTTCTTTTACCTTCAACCCTTATCATAATTCGAATAAGCATATCATATTATTTATCCAATTATTTTATGAATTTCAACAAATTCACTTCTGAGGTAGACTATGGTGTGAAACAGATTCTAATGCAAAAGACAACAAATATTAGTGGTTATGGTTCGCGCTAGGACTCGAACTCGGGAAATACAACAGCTAGCGGCGGTTTTCAACCAGAGAGAACGCTTAGATTCACAAGACGTATATTAGATCATTTGGATCTTGACCCTCTGAAATAAAGTTTTAATATCACAAACCTTTTCACAGCGAAAAGTCCACTGCTGAAAATAGGCCTCCCATAGATTGCCTCATAGGAGGGATATTCGCCATAGCTGGCACGGTTGGCAACCGCACTTTATTTTTATTTTTAGTAGTTATTAAGAAGACGCTGCTGTTTATTTCCTTATTTGTTTCCCTCTGTCGCCTCTAACGACATCCGCGAGTTGATATGCGGTAGTGGATATTCTTACATCGCCACTACACGGTAAACACCGCCACTACACGGCAAACACCCGCCACTACACGGTAAACAGCCATTATACTGTAAACACCGCCACTACACCATAAACAGCGCCACTACGTGGTATATATCGTCACTACACGGTAAACACCCCCACTATACGGTAAACACCCCCACTACACGGTGAACACCGCCACTATACGGTAAACACTGCCACAACACAGTAAACACCGCCACTACACGGTAAACACCGCTGTTACACGGTAAACACCGTCATACACACTAAACACAACACAAACCTGTACAATTTTAGAAACTTTTGGTCTATACAAATAAATAAAATTGAAGTATCTGTTTGTAATGTAAAAATAACAGCTTTTTAATAATTGCATATGATAGTTTATACGGTACTTATAACAAAAACACAATTTTAAATTTTTTTGTCTGTCTGTCTGTCTGTTTTTTCCGGCTAATCTCCGAAACGGCTGGACTGATTTTGACGGGACTTTCACTGGTAGATGGCTCATGTTATATTGAGTAACTTAGGCTACTTAAATTTTAGAAAAGTAATTAGGGTTCCGCACAATAAAATTAAAACCCTAAATTACACGCTGGCGAAGTCGCGGGGAACAGCTAGATTAACATATATGTAAATTGAAACAGTCAATTATATTTATATGACGGTTTTTCAGATGTGTACATCTTTAATATTCTATTTTAGAAATAAACGACTATGTCGTCATCCGAAATCATAGTGCCAGCGAACCAAGTACTGTTCGAAGAATTTTGTACATTGTTAGACAGTTTATATGATAAAAAGAAAAGCAAACGAGAGAAATTTCGTATATTGTCGAATTATGTGGATGATTTTAGGCTCAAAGCAGCGCAGATTCGACAAGAAAAGGTAGTATAACATTTGTCCTTTAGTGTCACATTTCAATGTACCATAATATATAGGTACTTTGTATGATAATTGTGTTTTCAGAATTCCACTTTTTATCCTATTCTGCGGTTACTGTTACCTGCATTGGAGCGGGAAAGATGTTCATATAATTTAAAAGAGGCAAGGCTTGGCGCTTTATTTGTTAATACGTTGGCTTGGAACAAAAAATCTCCAAATTCTCAAAAATTATTGAACTATCGATCAAATTGGCATCATAAAGATTTTGCTACAGTTGCATACGATTTATTAAAGGACAGAGTCTGCAAATCTTCTTCACTTACAATAGGAGATGTTAATGATATACTAGATCAAATTGCAAATGCGGAAGTTGGAAAATCACGTGAGTATGCTCACCCGAGTGCTTATAATATTATAATTATTATAATTCCTAATGAGTATATGTATCAACTAATCTCGTGCAGTCTTTTTTTTATAGGATAAGGGTGACAAACGAGCACACAGTCCACCTGATGGTAAGTGGTTGCTGCGGCCCATAGACATCTACATCAATCCTCTATTACAAATCAAAATGTAGATGCGTTGTCACCCGTGAGGACTAAGATGGAATGCCTTATTTCCAGTAAAAAGGGCCTCCGGCCACCTGTACTCACCAAGCGAAACGCAGAGGTAAACCTCTACTTCACGCTGGTTTTCTGTGAGGTCGTGGTACCACGCCGGTTCGAGCCGGCCCATCCGTGCGACAGCAAAAGCTGTTCATTACTACAGAGAAAGAAAAACTCGACGCACATGCCTGTTTCTTTGATCAGTCAAAGGTTTTTTGATCTAGTATGTTGCCTTGGGATTCCGGCGGAAATAACAAGACAAGACTGATTTGCCTCAGTTTATATCCTATGCTTAAATTTTGTTATAGTACTTAGTAGTATTTGTTATAGTCACCTGTTTTATAGACAGGGTTTGATTTGATATAAATTCTGCAGATGATATGGCGTTGCTGTGCTCATCAATATTTATTTAATTTGCAGATAGATAGGATTCTATAAATCTAAGGCATTGTCTCGTGCGGTGTAGGTATTTGCCTATATTTAATGATGTAGAGTTTAGGTTGTTTCATTGAATTTGCTGTACTGTGGTGAGAAAAGAAGTTTTTATTATTATAACTGTGCAGCTGATGGTTACTACTACTAACTTTGGGGAAGATGTGTACATTAACATAATATTGTTTTAAAACGTGCTCGGCGGTAAAGAGAAACATCGTGAGAATAGCTACATGTTTGAGGCTTAAAACATTTTGAGGACATAATATGAGTCGACCAAACTGTACTGGGGCAGTGTGGTGGACTAATTAATGCTCCAAAAACCGGTGTATATCAATTGAATAACTGTAACTTTTAATAGTACCTAGGTACTTAAATTATGAATACTTAGGACTATATTGATATTAATTTATTGTTGTGTCACATAATTACATTGAAGAACTCGACTATAATTTTGTGTTGTTCACGCAAACTTAACTTGACGACAACTCCTCTGCATTTATAAAACTTCGACGCATATTTCTAGCTACTCTTGAAGAAATATTTACATATGTTTTAAATAAAATAAATGGAAGGCAGTTGAAATGGTTCCTCCGGATTATTCTTAAAGATTTGAAACTAAATATGGGCTTGAAACGTATCTTTGCTGCTTTCCACCCGGACGCAAAAATATATTATGATAACTGCTCCGATCTAAGCAAGGTTAGTTTAGAAAAATATAATATATTTTTCGATTTATATATTAATAGTTAATGTGTATTTTATTCTATTTATGTGTGGTTAATTGTGTAACGTGTAGTGGCGGTTAAGAATATCCACTACCCCATATCTTCCCGTGGGTGTCGTAAGAGGCGACAAAGGGAAACTGGCAGGAGATGGGCAGCAGCATCTTCCTGATAACAGCAAAAGTACAATAAAAAAAACTGCGGTTGCCAACCCGCTCGCCAAGCGTGGCAACTATGGCAAATACTCCCCAATGATTAGAGCAACAAAGAGACGGCCCCCAGTCCCCGACGGCCCCGCTATTCCTGGCTACGGTGGCGACCATGGTAACGGCGGGGCAGGGGGTGCTAAGAATCTCCGGTGGAGGTTCGGTTGCCACCTAAGACGACTCGACCTGGCAACATACAACGCACGCACCCTGAGGACTGACGAGAAGATCGTGGAGCTGGAAGAAGAGATAGACCAGTTACGCTGGCATATTATAGGATTATCCGAGGTCCGAAGAGAGGGGGAGGATACGGTAATCCTCGAATCCGGCAACTTGCTCTATCACCGGGAGGGCGACCATCTGTCCCAAGGAGGTGTCGGATTTATCGTCCACAAGTCTCTCGTTAACAACGTTGTAAAGATTGAGAGTGTGTCGACGAGGGTTGCGTATCTTATACTCAGAATCACCAAACGGTATTCGCTGAAGGTCATACAGGTTTACAACCAACCTCGGCACATCCCGATGAGGAGGTGGAGGAAATGTATGAGGATATCTCTAGAGCCATGCGTTCATCTAAAACCCACTCTACGGTGTTAATGGGAGACTACCATGCAAAACTAGGCACAAGAGAGAACGGGGAGCTGAAAGTAGGGAAATTTGGAATAGGGCAACGGAACCCAAGGGGCCAGCAGCTGGTCGACTTCATGGCGAAAGAGGGACTCTTTATAATGAACTCTTTCTTCCAGAAGCGGCCCCACAGGAAGTGGACCTGGTCGAGCCCCGACGCTTCGACAAAAATGAGATTGACTTCATTATGAAGATCAGACGACAACTGTTCAGTGATGTCTCCGTGATCGCGAGGGTGAAAACTGGGTAGCGATTACCGAATGGTTAGAGGCACACTGAACCTAAACGTTAAGTTGGAGAGGTTTCGAGGTCTCAGAACACAAAAACTCTCCGATCACACTCTTAATCTTATGGCTGTTAGACGGGAGATGAAGCTATATTCTTCAACCGATTTGACAGCATACAGGCAACTGAACAGACAGATCTCCAAATGCATGCGGCGGGACTTGCGCAACTTCAATAGAGCTTGTATTGAAGAAGCGATCGAGCGGAATCAAGGCTCCAAAGTCTTTGCCAGAGATCTGTCTGCCAGAAAGAGCCAACTGTCAAAGCTGAAGACCGAGTGTGGCAGCATCGTTTCCGGGACACCTGAGATTTTGAGTGAGATTGAGAAGTTCTATGGGCAGCTGTACATGTCATCGTTGGAGCCACACGTAAGTGTTAGTAACGATCCAAGAGCGAGTCTTATCCGACACTATTCCGAAGATATCCCGGACGTCAGTCTGAGCGAGATTAGAATGGCTCTCCAGCACCATAAAAACGGCAAGTCCCCGGGCGAGGATGGAATTATAGCGCAGCTTTTGAAACCTAGTGGAAAACCGGTACTTGAAGTCCTTCAGAAGCTCTTTAATTCCGTCCTCCATGGTGGCACTACTCTGGAGGCGTGGAACAGAAGTGTGGTGGTCTTGTTCTTCAAGAAAGGCGACAACGCTCACTTGAAGAACTACATACCGATTTACCTTCTGAGCCGCGTTTACGTGCTGTTTTACAGAGTCATTACGAATCGTCTCGTACACAGACTTGACGACTTCCAGCCCCCGACCACATACATACCTTGCGGCAGATTATACAGAAGACAGAGGAGTATAATCTGCCACTTTGCCTTGCGTATGTGGACTATGAGAAAGCCTTTGATTCCGTCGAAATTTGGGCGGTGCTGCAGTCCCTTCAGCGGTGCCAAGTTGACTGTCGGTATATCGAAGTGCTGAAGTGTTTGTACAGTAGGGCTACGATGGCTATCCGAGTAAAGAACCAGAATACGAAACCTATCCAATTGCAGAGAGGTGTAAGACAGGGTGAAGTCATATCCCCGAAACTCTTCACCGCTGCATTGGAAGACGTTTTCAAGCTTCTGGACTGGAAAGGATACGGTATAAACATCAATGGCAAGTACATCACTCACCTTCGATTTGCCGACGATATAGTCCTTATGGCACAATCGCTGGAGGACCTAAGCACTATGCTCAATGACCTCAATAGTGTCTCCTAATGGATAGGTTTTAAGATGAACATGGACAAAACAAAAATCATGTTTAACGTCCATGTCACACCTATGCCGGTAGGTAGTTGTTGGGAGCACTAAGCTCGAAGTTGTTGACGAGTATGGTTTACCTGGGACAAATAGTCCGACTAGGTAAGTCCAACTTCGACCGAGAGGTCAATCGACGGATTTAACTCGGCTGGGCAGCGTTCGGGAAACTACGATACATCTTCTCGTTAGACATACCTCAAAACCTGAAAACGAAATTGTACAACCAGTACGTGTTGCCAGTGATGACTTATGGATCTGAGACGTGGGCCTTCACTGCTGGCTGTATGAAGAAGCTCAAGGTCGCTCAGCGAGCTATGGAGAGGGCTATGCTCGAGGTGTCTCTGTGTGATATTATGAACTTAGAAATTAGGATACCCGCAGTAGAACCAGAGTAACCGACATAACCCAACGGATTAGTAAGCTGAAGTGGCAGTAGGCCGGCCATATAGCTCAAAGAACCGACAACCGATGGGGAAGAAAGGTTCTCGAGTGGCAGTCTCGTACCGGTAGGCGAAGTGTAGGGCGACCCCCCACTAGATGGAGTGACGACCTGGTGAGACATGCAGGAAGTCGATGGATGCAGGTGGCTCAGGACCGTGCTTTGTGGCATTCTATGGGGAGGCCTATGTTCAGCAGTGGACTTGTGAAGGGCTGTAATGATGATGATGATGATGATGAATTGTGTAACATACATGGTTGTAAGCTGTTATTTAAAAAAAATCCCGCTGGGTTTCTTGCTGGTTGTTCCCAGGACAAAAGTTTTTTCGAACCAGTGGTAATTAAACAAAAGAGTGATTTTAATAAGTATTATTTGTAATCGTATTGAATAAAAAGTTTCTGTTTCTGTTTCTGTTTCTATTGATTATAAAATCGTGGAAGCTACAAAAACTTAATACAAATTAAATAAGACTTTTAGGTACAAACTTTGAATGTTTGAACTTTGAATAAACGGAGACTAGCGAAGGATAGGATTTTACACAAGTTTGTAAAAAAGCACAGTTGCACTTTCTATTTCTTCACTCTTGTTGTTCGATGGGACGCTAATCCGACATGATCGAAGGGAGATTAGGCGCAGCATCAACAGCTTTACGTGCTTTTCGACGCGCGGGGGTGAAACACCACCAACTTCTTGACATCAGGAGTATCGTGACAGAAATAACTGCTTTTTTTTTGATACAGTATGGATGTAATATTTTTTTTTTATGAAACATGTAAACGCTTTATGTATATTTAAGATACTTGTGATGTCAGATAAAATTAAGAAAATAATTTAAGATTGATTCTGAATCTGTAAAGGGATTTAAGATAATCTAAAACAATTCAAATTATATACACAGATATTAACATGGTCATATATGCACATACATACATGCTAAATCCCAAAACAAGAATTTAATTTTAAAATCTTTAAAAAATATATGTAAACACTAGATAATTTTTTACGATGCTAAGATTGCTCTCACACAAAATACTCTGTTGTGAACGCATAGCTGGAACTATACTATACTGGAAATAGAAACACTCGATTTCTCAACAACCAATCACAGCGCGAGAATCTTGACCTCCCATCAGCTGCCAGCATGTATCGACAAGCTATCTTTCTCGTACTTAACGGTCCGCGAGACGATCAAGTGCACTTGACAAGTCTACGTGCTTGAAGTGAATATTGATCGTTTACAGCGTTGGGTTGACAAGTCCCGTCAAGTATCTACGGGCTGGACCATACTTGACAAAAATTTTGATTGACGGCACTTGAACCACCTTGCGCTTGATGCGACTTGACGCGACTTGACAAGTTTTATTCATTTGCGGCCGGAACATCGAAGATGGCGGACGACGAACCGTCCGAGACGTGGCTTTGGCGGCAATCGTCGACCTAATTACCGAGCGTGATTTTGTGTTATTATTAATATCTCTCTACAGAGATTATCCTGCATTGTGGAAAATTAAAAGTAAGGAGTATGCGGATAAAAACAAAAGGTCGCTTGCTTTATCAAGCATAGTCAAAGCACTTCGAGTATATAAACCTGCCTACACCGAAGATTTATTGAAGAAAAAAATTTATGCATTAAGAACCAACTTCAACAAAGAAAGAAAAACGATTGAACAAGCACAACGGTCTGGCGCGTCTCCCGATGATGTACCAAAACCGTCACTCTACTATTACAATGAACTGTTATTTCTGTCAGACCAAATGTGTATAAGTGATACTGAAAGCAGTTTAAGCAGTGAGGTAAAACATTTTTTATTTACAATTCAAAGATACATTTTACTTTTAAGTATGTTTTTAAATAACTAAATTAGGCAATTATTTTGCCAAGGGACTGAACCGTTACCATTAAAGTACTCGCAAAAGTCATCTCTCACTCTTTTTGCCTCATTTGCCGAGTTTCCTCGTACTCGCTCTATATTTAACAATTGGTGTCCTTGTCTCCACGCACCTCTTGTGACTGTGGTATTTGGTTCTTCTATGTCAATATCTCCTGGTTTAATATATTTGTTTTTATTTTTTTCACACAAATAGTTGTGTAAGTGACAGGCAGCCAAAACAACTTTTCACGTTTTATCAGGATGCTGTCCAATGTCTTTTTTAAATATTTTGAATCGCCAAGACAGGATGCCAAAAGCATTTTCAACCACCCTCCTGGCTCTTGACAATCTATAGTTGAAAATCCGTCTTTCGTCTGTCAAGACGGCTTTGTTGTATGGCTTCATGAAGTTTGGAGTCAGTTGGAAAGCTTCGTCACCTACCAGTACAAACGGAAACTTATTATCGCTTTCTAGTAACTCACATGGCTCCGGAATATTAAGTCTGTTTTCACTTTCAGAAAACAATTGCCAAAACTTTGTATTTTTCAAAGTTCCACCATCTGACATCCGCCCATTTGCACCAACATCAACCATCATAAATTGATAATTGGCGTTTACAATAGCCATAAGTACAATACTAAATGTCTTTTTATAGTTAAAATAGTAAGATCCAGAATTTGAAGGTTATTCTATTTCGATGTGCTTGCCATCAACAGTAACTATACAGTTGGGAAAGTTCCATCATTTCTCGAACTCTTTGGCTACTTTTTTCCAGTCCTCGGTCGTTCTCGGTATCTGTGAATAGCACAAACATTGGTTAATTTTTTTACAGGCTTCCGGGTCATCCAATTATCAAAAAGAGATGCCACAACCAAAGAAAAGCAAAAACACACCACAGCAGGACCTGATAGATATAGCGTCGCATTATTTCAAAAAACCTGATGACTCTGAATCGGATATAATTGCGAAGGGCTGGGCTCTTAAACTCAAACGTTTATCAGCAGATCAAAGACGCTATGCGGAGAAAATAATAAATGACATTTTATTCGAAGCCGAAATGGGATCACTGTCAAGAAACGGAGTTCAGATCTTGCCTGCTAGCTCACCCACATACACATACTCATACCAGTCGCCCGCATCACATCAGTCACCATCACCTGTGCCATCACCAAATGCACTCCACTCAATCTTGACATACCAGTCACCATCACCAAGTGGGTACCACTCAACTTTGACATACCAGTCACCCGCACCACATCAGTCACCATTACCTGTGCCATCACCAAATGCACTCCACTCAACTACGACATACCAGTCACCCGCACCACATCAGTCACCATCACCTGTGCCATCACCAAATGCACTCCACTCAACTACGACATACCAGTCACCCGCACCACATCAGTCACCATCACCTGTGCCATCATCAAATACACTCCACTCAACTACGACATACCAGTCACCCGCACCACATCAGTCACCATCACCTGTGCCATCACCAAATGCACTCCATTCAACTACGACATACCAGTCACCCGAACCACATCAGTCACCATCACCTGTGCCATCACCAAATGTACACCACTCAATCTTGACATACCAGTCACCATCACCAAGTGGGTACCACTTAACTTTGACATACCAGTCACCCGCACCACATCAGTAACCATCACCTGTGCCATCACCAAATGTACACCACTCAGTCTTGACATACCAGTCACCATCACCAAGTGGGTACCTACCACTCAACTTTGACATACCAGTCACCCGCACCACATCAGTTACCATCACCTGTGCCATCACCAAATGCACTCCACTCAACTACGACATACCAATCACCCGCACCACATCAGTCACACTCACAAGTCATAGGCAAGACACCGGTGCATGGTACTGCCAAATCACTCATAATTGTGCCATCTCAACCAATGCAGGCGCCAAGTGTATCTCATGAACAGCCCGTAATTCATATACCAGAACCAACTACTGAAGAAGAAGAATCACAGACTGCGGCTAAGTTCTTGCAACACTTCTATTCTTTTTAGTAACTTCTATAGACCAAACAGAACTTTTTGGGTATGAATCGGTTGCACAACCGAGCCATACAAGATAAAAAAAAGAAACAATAAAAAGTTTTCTGTTTTGTCTGTCTCATATTTCACCATCACATTAAGTATTTAATTTTTGTTATGATTATTTTGGTTAAGATAAATGAAAATAAATGAATATCATACAAACCCGAATATTTTCTTTTAACTTTTGAATTATAGCCTCACACGTCTCCTGTATTATTAAATCAAAAGTACGAGGAGCGACAGCACACATAAACTTTAAATCTTCCAAGTCCATACCAGTGACCTTAGAGTAACCTTAGAGTTACAGAGAACCTTTGGCTGGCAGGAATAGCTTGTCGCATATTGGTATCTTGCTTTTCAATATTGGGGTGAATCAACTCCAACAATGTTTCAAAAGAATCGTTGTCCATTCGTAGAATATTTTTATAATCGTCGGGCTCAGTTGCTTGAAGAGTACTTTGCAAATGTTCATGCGTGAATCGATATCTCATTTTAGACCATTCCTTACACCATCGCCTCTTTCTTTTCTCTTTTTCTGTGATAGATACCGCTAGAGTTATAGCAAGGAATGCCTTGTCTGCGTTGGAAACCATTATTAATTTTTGCGACGACCACTTTCCTGAGCACAGGGCGGTGAACGACTGCGGCATGTGGACTTGACGGCACCTTCAAGTCGCGTCAAGTCCCTCGTCAACTGAAATCGTCAAGCACGTAGACTTGTCAAGTGCACTTGATCGTCTCGCGGACCCATTAACTTTCTTCGTCAGTGTCACGTTGTATGTTTCATAAAATATGATTCGTGACCGTAATGAGTTTGTATTTACAGAATTATTATTATTAAAATCACCAATGCAACCCTCTAAGTTCATATAATCTCTTTGAATGACTTTTTCTGAAAATAGCCATAGAATGGGATTATACGAACTTAGAGGGTTTTTTTTAATTATATAAAAAAAAGAAATCAAGTTGCAAGTTGCCAAATAAAACATTTTTTTGCAAATGATATATTATGCTGCGCAGTAACGAAATAACCGCAAACGCTCTGCCAGAATCGCGGGACTGGATTCACAAATTGACGAAATTATATTTTTTCACAATTTCAACTTTCCAAAAGGACCTTCCAAAAATTCGTCGCCAGCTCTCAGACTATTATAGTTGTTACCTTTTGTAGTCGCTTTGTATGTTGTATGAAAATTTTAATTACTAATATAACATGTTACTACTAGGTTTGTGCGAATTTTGACGGTGGTAATACTCGACCATCTGAAATTGGCGTTGAAATATTCTACGCCGTAAGTCCGATGCTTTTAGAGCAGCTAAAAATTACAAAACTTTCTGATCTTCCGCCGACGAAGACCTACATGATAGAAGAAAAATTCGACGGTGAAAGATTTCAGGTATATTTTATTCACTTGCACAGTTTATGTTTAGGTATCTAATAACTAAAGATTTTTTTTCACAATGTTGCTTTGCGTATTGTATGTCAAGTTCGGACCTTTTACTTTTAATGTCAATGTTCATCATCATCATCCTCATCATTACAGCTCTTCACAAGTCCACTGCTGAACATAGGCCTCCCCCAAGGAATGCCACAAAGCACGGTCTTGAGTCACCTGCATCCATCGACTGCCTGCATACCTAACCAGGTCGTCACTCCATTTAGTGGGGGGTCGCCCCACACTTCGCCTACCGGTTCGAGGCTGCTACTCGAGAACCTTTTTTCTCCATCGGTTGTTGGTTCTTCGAGCTATATGGCCGGCCCATTGCCACTTCAGCTTTTCAGCACTAATCCGTCACTCTGGTTCTACTGCGGATATCCTTATTTCTAAGTTTATCACTTAGAGAGACCCCGTGAAGAACCACGTCTCAGTTCCCTAAGTCATCACTGGAAACACGCACTGGTTGTACAATCTCGTTTTCATGTTTTAAGATATATCTGACGAAAAGATGTGTCGTAATTTCCCAAACGCTGCCCAGCCGAGTTGAATCCGTCGATTGACTTCTCGGTTGAAGTTGGACTTACCTAGCCGGACTATTTGTCCCAGGTAAACATACTCGTCAACAACTTCGAGCTTAGTGCTCCCAACAACTACTGGCATAGGTGTGACATGGACGTTACACATGATATTTGTTTTGTCCATGTTCATCTTAAGACCTATCCGTTGAGAGGCACTATTGAGGTCATTGAGCATAGTGCTTAGGTTCTCATCTACTAGGACTATCATCATTACAGCCCTTCACAAGTCCACTGCTGAGCATAGGCCTCCTCCAAGGAATGCTACAAAGCACGGTCCTGAGCCACCTGCATCCATCGACTTCCTGCATATCTTACCAGGTACCGTCACTTCATCTAGTGGGGGGACGCCCTACACTTCGTCTGCTGGTACGAAGCTGCCACTCGAGAACCTTTTTTCCCCATCGGTTGTCGGTTCTTCGAGCTATATGGCCGGCCCACTGCCACTTCAGCTTACTAATCCGTTGGGCTATGTCGGTTACTCTGGTTCTACTGCGGATATCCTCATTTCTAAGTTTATCACGCAGAGACACCCCGAGCATAGCCCTCTCCATAGCTCGCTGAGCGACCTTGAGCTTCCTCATACAGCCAGCAGTGAAGGACCACGTCTCAGATCCGTAAGTCATCACTGGCAACACGCACTGGTTGTACAATTTCGTTTTCAGGTTTTGAGGTATGTCTAACAAGAAAGAAATGTGTCGTAGTTTCCCGAACGCTGCCCAGCCGAGTTGAATCCGTCGATTGACCTCTCGGTCGAAGTTGGACTTACCTCGTCGGACTATTTGTCCCAGGTAAACATACTCGTCAACAACTTCGAGCTTAGTGCTCCCAACAACTACCGGCATAGGTGTGACATGGACATTAAACATTATCTTTGTTTTGTCCATGTTCATTTTAAGACCTATCCGTTGGGAAACACTATTGAGGTCATTGAGCATAGTGCTTAGGCCCTCCAGCGTTTCTGCCATAAGGACTATATCGTCGGCAAATCGAAGGTGAGTGATGTACTTGCCATTGATGTTTATACCGTATCCTTTCCAGTCCAGAAGCTTGAAAACGTCTTCCATTGCAGCGGTGAAGAGTTTCGGGGATATGACTTCACCCTGTCTTACACCTCTCTGCAATTGGATAGGTTTCGTATTCTGGTTCTGTACTCGGATAGCCATCGTAGCCCTACTTTACTTCAACACTTCGATATACCGACAGTCAACTTGGCACCGCTGAAGGGACTGCAACACCGCCCAAATTTCGACGGAATCAAAGGCTTTCTTATAGTCCACATACGCAAGACAAAGTGGCAAATTGTACTCCTCGGACTTTTGTACAAGTTGCCGAAGGGTATGTATGTGGTCCATGGTGCTAAAGCCTTTTCGGAACCCGGGTTGTTCGAGAGGCTGGAAGCCGTCAAGTCTACGCGCGAGACGATTCGTAATGACTCTCGAAAACGGCACGTAGACGCGGCTCAGAAGGGAAATCGGTCTGTAGTTCTTCAAGAGAGCGTTGTCGCTTTTCTTGAAGAACAAGACCACCGCACTTCTGCTCCACGCCTCCGGTGTAATGCCACTATGGCGGACGGAATTAAAGAGCTTTTGAAGGATTTCAAGTACTGGTTTTCTACCCGCTTTCAGAAGCTCCTCTGTAATTCCATTCTCGCCTGGGGCCTTGCCGTTTTTAAGGTGCTGGAGAGCCATCACGCTCAGACTGACGTCCGGGATATCATCGGAATAATGTCGGATAAGATTCGCTCTTGGATCGTTACTCACACTTGCGTGTAGCTCCAACGATGATGTATACAGCTGCCCATAGAACCTCTCAATCTCACTCAAAATCTCAGGTGTCCCGGAAATGACGCTGCCACACTCGGTCTTCAGCTTCGACAGTTGGCTCTTTCTGGCAGACAGATCTCTAGCAAAGACTTTGGAGCCCTGGTTCCGCTCGATCGCTTCTTCAATACAAGCTGTATTGAAGTTGCGTAAGTCCCGCCGCATGCATTTGGAGATCCGTCTGGTCAGTTGCCTGTATGCTGTCAAATCTATTGAAGACTTTAAGAGCTTTGACTTCATTAGACGACACCTCACCAACTTAACCTTTAGGTTCAGTGTGCCTTTAACCATTCGGTCATCGCTACCAGTTTTCAACCTCGCGATCACTGAGACACCATCTCTCTTGTGCCTAGTTTTGCGTTGAAGTCTCCCAATAACATCGTATAGTGGGTTTTAGAGGAATGCATGGCTTTAGAGATATCCTCATAAATTTCCCCCACCTCCTCATCGCGATGTGCCGAGCTTGGTGCGTAAATCTGTATGACCTTCAACGAATACCGTTTGGTGATTCTGAGTATAAGGGACGCAACCTTCGTCGACACACTCACAATCTTTACTACGTTGTTAACGAGAGATAGTGAATCCTCTTTGAGACAGATGGTCGCCCTTTCGGTGATAGAACATGTTGCCGGATTCGAGGATTACCGTGTCCTCCTCTTCGTACCTCAGATAATTCTATTATATCCCAGCGCACCTTGTCTATCTCTTTTTCCAGCTCCAGGATCTTCTCGTCATTCCTCAGGGTGCGTGCGTTATAAGTTGCCATTCCTAGCACCCCCTGCCCCGACGTTACCATGTTCGCCACCGTAGCCAGGAATAGCGGGCCCGCGGGGGACTGGGAGGCTGTCATTTTGTAACTTTCATCATGTATCAATATACCCCATATTGCCATAGTTACCACACTTGGCGAGCGGGTTGGTAACCGCAGTTTTATTTTTATTGTAATTTGTTGTTATCAGAAAGATGCTGTTGCCCATCTTATGTCTCAGTTTCCCTCTGTCGCCTCTTACGACACCCACGGTGAGATATGGGGTAGTGGGTATTCTTACCCCCCACTACGCGGGAGTGTCACAGAGAGTACCAGTGTAAAATTCCAGCATAACGTCTATACAGTTCACCAAAAGGTGGCTTTATTTCAACCATGGTGTTCAAACCAAGTTTATGCAATTTGCACTACAAAATAATCCGTAATTATTGAAAATACACCTATTGTTTATTTATTTACGATGTTATTTTTTATATTATACGTTTTTTTCTATCCCGATTAACAATTTTAGATACATATGGAGAATAATATTTTCGAATATTTTTCAAGAAAAGGACACAAGTATTCGCACAACTTCGGAGAATCTTATGAATCTGGTTCATTGACACCACTTCTGAAAGATTGCTTTGCTCCAACTGTCAAGAGTTTTATACTGGATGGTGAAATGATGGGCTGGCATAAGGAGCAAGAGACTTTTGGATCGAAAGGTTTATGTAATGTAGTAATAATTTTAACGTAGAAATTGAAATACATCTCGATGAAAGCGTAAACAATAGTGTCAATGGTCAGATTTTTTTTGGTATTGATTGAAAGTACCCATGAACTCATAGGTCCACTCGCGATCAGCACTTTTGTAACTTTGGTGGTAATCGTTGCCGGTGACATTTTGTAACCTAAAAAAGGTTTTGTATTTTGCCACCTAAAATGGGGCTGCAGGTGTAATGCAAGCTGGAATATGTCAAGAAAATATAAGAAAATACAAGAGAAATCTATGTTTATCCATCATAATGTGTAACCCACGCAAGATAGATATATCTTGCGTGGATAGATATGATAATATTTATGTAAATATTATAACTACATAGATACTGATTCGTTCTAACTCTTCCGCTCTCGTTATAACACTAATGCTAATCACGTGGTGTATCTTAATCATCTGGTTTTTTTGTCTTGATTTCTATGATATGAGTCTTCCATGGACCTTGGGTATAATTAAAGCGTTAGTGAAGTAGCAGTGTAATGCTGCTGTGCTATGTATGGGATTGACAAAAATCGGAGACCTTTTTACTGGTAACGACACATTAAATGTTAACCCTCAAACCCTCAAAGGTGACAACGCTGACATTGATGATCAAAGATTGAAAAATTAATTTAAAAAAATCAAAAAGCAACATCAATATGTTGATCCATAAGGAAAATGTAAGCGTCTTTGTGCCACAGCATTAACTTTTTATAGAATAAGAATGACAAACGTGCGACATCTACATCCCTTAATTAATAAGTATATAGATACCATTGAGATATAATGTACTACGTACTAGAGAAGACGCCTCAACTCGATTGTTTGTAACACGCGTTAGAGTGCGCGCTCTCAAACTCACTTAGTCTGTGTCAAGCGGTTGTTGCAACGTGAGAAGTTAGAGTGAAGAATTATTTTTAAATTAATATGCCTTCGTGTGCATTGAGATACTGTTCAAACTACTCGAGAAATATAAGGAAAAGTCAAGGAGTGAATTTTCACCAGTAATTTAAACTTATTATTATCTTTAAAACACGCTTAATTTAATTATATTTTATCAACAGCAACGTATACGTGAATGTCAAAGAGTAAAACATTTTTATGCGCAGACTTGACACTATCGACGTATAATGTTAAGTAATTATGAACAGCAAAATATTTATATATAATCACTGTAGGAAATGTTAATGCAGTAAAATTAATATTTTTTATTATTATTTTTATTTAATGGTTTCCTCGGCTGTGTCATGAAACAAAATAATCATGGATCAAATTTGTTCAGAAGAATTGCAGTGAAGAAATGTCAAATTATTCACGCATAATTTCCGTGCAGTTCAAAAAAAATGACAAATACACCGCAAAAACAGGAAGAGTGTACTTCAAGAAATAAGCAGTACCATGCGACAGTGTAATTATATAATTATATAACATTGCTGGGATTTATGTTTTATTTTTTGATTAGACGACGAACGAATGTTTTGTAATGTTCAGTATATTTACGGGACTTAAGAGAGGCGGAAACCTCGGCGCGCGAGGCATTCTAATATATGACGGTTTTTTAATACTGTAACACTAGAATTTTTGCAGGCTTCCCAAATAACTAGTATCTTTTTTTCAGCCAACAAAATGTGAATGGTGAATAGGAAGTATCAGAACCGTTGTCTGAATCAATAAGCAGTACAAATTCAATTTTAGATAATCCGAGCAAAATTGTACTTAAAAATAAATTAGGCAAGTGATGTCTCCTAAGCTAAGTTTGAGTGATGTATACGAAGCCTAAGCTTTTAAATATAGTTCTACCTCAATAACGGAATCAATAATACTAGGTTATTATAAAAAGAATAAAATATAAGCACGTTGTAATATTGTGTTTGTATTTAATAGCAAGGAATCTGCAGCTAGAAAGAAACTTACTGAGAAATTTAAGACAAAATATTTATCTAAAGAAAACATGTGCTTCTTAAAAATCAATTGTAGAAAATTTGAAACATAAATTCGGTCTCAACTTAAATGCTGAGATTGATTTAATGGGTAAAGCAGAAGTTATGGAGTAACATAAATCTTTAACGAAAAAGAATAAACAGAGCACGCATTATTAATTATACACTGCATGCACCTTTACGTAAATTTGATTTTACACTATTATTCACCTACTGCGTATAAATACGTTAGAGAATGCTAGAAAAGTAATAATAATGATCTTTGAAAATAAATGCATATTTTTATATTCTACATATTTACCTTTTAAAGTATTAAATAAAATATAATTCTGACATAATATTTTTTTTTACATGTAACATAATATTATGTTACATTATATTAACACATTATGCAATATAAATAACAATTTAAAACATTGTACTCGATACAATTTACAATACAATCTAAATAAACATTTACTTATTACATACTGATCATTCTACCTACGTATATAATCTATGATGACAAAAACCGCGCATGCGCGACTGTACTATTTACTGCGCATGCGCGAAGACATAGAGTAGTGCACAGTTTTTGTTCGGAATAGCTTCTCTAGTACGTAGTACATTATATCTCAATGATAGATACCTACTATTTTAGTAACACTACTTTTAGTACTTTCCATCTCCTGAATTGCTTTATACTTTAACTTAATAATGTACTCGTATTTAACAACTTCGACAATTACATGCGGCCTTACCATCGATCACTAATAAAAAACTATATACACAATCCCATGCAAAAGTTCAATAAAAACTAATTGCAAATTGTTTTGACGTAATTCTAGTTGAAATAAATATACATTAGTGCAAATTCGACCTTAAATGCATTGCCTAAAGTTGTATTCACAAAGTTACGTACAAATTAAAAGCGCATCTAAATGTTCGAGTGGGCGCTCATTCGGTAAGGACATTTTTGTCACTGATTGTGTATCTAGTTTTTTATTCGTGATCGACGAGTTCAATATATTAACTCTTTCTCTGTAATAAATGACATTAGAAAGAGACAGATGTAAAGCCAATTAACGCATAATATTAGAAATAAGGGCTAATCAACTATTATAAGTAAGGGCGTTTTTTTGTTAAATTGAATCTTTGTAATAACAACAGGCTTCTACTATTTTAGGAATGAAGTACGACGTGAAAACTTTAAAGGATAAATCGCAATACAAACCGAGTTTTTGTGTTTACGATATTTTATATTACAACGGAAAGTCTTTAGTTGGACCTTCAGAAATGGGTGGCCTACCTCTAATCAAGCGCCTTGAAATATTGGATAATCTGTTTCGTGATTTTTCTGGAGTTATATCGCACAGTAAGCGGCAAGTGGTAAAGGATAAGTTAGTCAGATTTTACTCAACTTTTTCACTTTTCCAGAATGATTTAGTTCTTGCACTGTGCGCAAGATATGTTTATTTAACAGTAACTGCTGTATTGAAGTTAGGCTCTTTGAAAATTAGTGGAATTTGTCGTCATTTCGACACTGCACGCTAACGACATCAATACGTCACGTAAATAGTAGCTGTTTTTGACAATTTACCTCGGTACATAAAAAATGAATTTCAAAGTAACTAAAAACGAGCCGCAGAAATGTATTATCAAAGTTAGGTATATAGGTATAGAGCTGCTATATATGTTGCAAGGTCATTCGGAAAAATCTATATCGTAATTTAGGTTTTTATTTGATCCAAGAAGATGCGGCAACAAAAAAATATATTTTTCATTTGATGCCTAAACCTTGCTTAACTTCTTGACATGAACTCACGCACACATCTTTCTTCTTTCTTTCTTTATTAGGCTAAGCGTCCACTAGGCTCGCCGAGCCGAGTCGAATCGAATCGCAGAAAGTCGCCACAGACAGACGACAGGCGAATTTTTTCGCCAGTGCGATTCGATTCAACTCGGCACGCCTCTGTTGATGCGGAGAAGTGGATGCGCGCCAACGTATTTTTATTAATTTCTATTTCGTTTTCGTAAGAATAATTGTTATGATATATTGTGTGTTATTGTGATTAATAGTGTGTTAAATAAAAATGAATGAAGAATTATTGATATCACTAGTCCAACAATATCCAGAATTGTTTAATTATGAAGATTCACATTATCACGATGACCAGCGTCGGATGAACATATGGGAAGAAATTGGGAGAATTATGAATGAATTATGAAAGTTATTTCTTTTCAAATAAATTTCGTGTATCCAGTATTTGGGAGTACGCCGTTTCCTTTTTCGTTTCTCCTCTTCTTCGTCAAAAAGTATTTGAAATAAAGACATCACTTCATCCAAGCTGTATATGACGCAAAAACGACCTATTTTGATGAAGAATTTGCGATGAATGAACAATTCGATTCGATTCGTCAGAGATGGACGCACTTGGAATAAATGCGGCGCATTTCTGCTGTAGTCGACGCCAGGCTTTAGCCCTTAAAAGTTCACTGCTGGACTAACATATGCACCTACAACCATGTGTTTGGTTGCAAATGATTTGCGTTATACGTGAAACATATAACTTGTTGTAAGTACACGCTTACAATAAGTTCAGCATGGGTTTGGCTTGGTTTTTGCGTAATTTGAAAAGTATGGAGCCATCTGTCTTTACTTCTTTATTCGTCTGAGAATGCAGCGTACTTTATTTTTATAGAATAATGGTGACAAACGAGCACACAGGCCACTTGATGGTAAGTGGATTTTGAGTCCAATAGACATCTACATTTATTCTCGATTAAAAATAAAAATTATATGCGTTGTCTCCCATGATCCTATCAGGTGGAATGCCTCATCACCAGTAAAAAGGGTCTCCGGTTCTGACCATGCGAAACACAGCAGCATTGAACTGCTATTTTACGCTGGTATTCTGTGAGAGCGTGGTCCTTTCCCGATCGAGTCAACTTATTCATGCTACAACCATAATATAGCTGCGGCGTGGTTCTACCACGTAAAAATACTAATGAAGATTGTTTTTGTTTAATAAAGTTCGGATATAGTGGATGCATTAAATAAGTGTATCGAGGACAATAAAGAAGGCATAACGGTTAAAGACATTGAGTCATATTACATCGCTAATCGACGGGACGCTGGGTGGTACAAAATTAAACCTGAGGTGAGTATTTAATAGCAAGTTAATATAGGTCTCTTATGTTTTAATAACAAAATAAAGACAAATATTTTCTTTTTTAGTATACAGAAGACGCAATAGAGGACCTTGATCTAGTGATTATTGGCAAAACGCTAAGACATCCAAAAAGCTTCTATGTTGCTTGTGTTGATAATACAGGTCAGTTTTATGTAACACTACACGAATAACATATCTATTCGTATACAAAGAACAACAACAATATACAGAGGTATCTATTTGAGAACGCCGAACTTACATACCACAATCTAGTGTTGCGGAGTACCATGGTGGTAGTACCAGAAGAATGGGACCACGCATATTTTTAACAAGCGAGCGCCAGCGATGCATGTTACCTACTACATGTTTCTTTATAGAATAATGGTGACAAACGAGTACACAGTCCACCTGATCGTAAATGGATTGTGTACTCGATGATGAGTAGACATGCTCCAACCATTGCTGCATTACAGCTCTACCACATATTTTTAATTCTTATCAGCACTTAAAAGTCCGCTGCTGGACATGGGCCTCTTCTGTTGCAGGGAGGGTTTACTTATATGCCACACTTGGCAAGCGATTTAAGACCGCAGTTTTTATCTAAAATGGTTATACCACCAGCTATCGGAGCCATAAGATCTTTCTGGCATTTCCACGCACTCGTTTATCGTTACAGCCTATAAAAAATCCAGTGCTGGAAATGGGCCTTTCCATAAGTTGCTTCACAGGGGGGGACATTTGCTATAGATGCCACGCTTGGCGGAGACGGGTTGGCAATCGCAGTTTTTTTTATTTTTTAGTTGTTATTAGGAAGACGCTGCTGCCCATATCTTGGTTTTCCTCTGCCGTCTAAACGTGCATGTCGCTGCGGCTACGAGCTGGCGCGTGTGTAGTGTGTCGGGGCTCGGATGCGAGTCGCGCGATCTTGCTTTCATTGTCAAATAGCCTTTAATAAGCTGAAGTATAGTAATCTCCATAGAACTGCATTTTTAAATTAATATTATGAAACCTGAATCTTCTTCTTCAAATTTTATTTTTTTCTTCCTCTGCCAATAAGCAAGCTATTACAATATTTTTTTCCATAGCGATCCGAGCGATCAATGTCACTGAACCGTTTCACAACAGTGGTTGAAAAAAACTGCAAAAGTTATTGGGAATACAAAATATTTGCGTACGGCGCGTACGTACAAATATTTTTTTTATATGATAAGGGTGACAAACGAGCACACAGTCTACCTGATGGTAAGTGGTTGCTGCGGCCCATAGACATCTACATCAAACAAAATGCAGATGCGTTCTCACCCGTGAGGACTAAGATGGATTGCCTCATTTCCAGTAAAAAGGGTCTCCGGTTCTCTACACTCACCATACGAAACACAGCAGCGTTAAGCTGCTATTTTACGCTGGTATTCTGTGAGAGCTAGAACTATACTACTAATATAGTTGTAGCATGGCTCTACCACGTAATGTGCGAGGTCATCAGTAAAATGCGGCACGTATGACACGGACGCTGCTGACAAATGTGCGTTCAGCTTTAGCGTGATGCGTCACCCGTCAAACGTGCGTATAGGTTAGCTGCGCGCTGGCTTTGCATGTGTAGCGTGACGAGGCTCGGCTGCGAGGCTAGCGACCGTGCCTTCATTTTGGCCTAAGCGTGATGCGTCGCTCGTCGAACGTGCATATAGGCGCGTCTGTAGTGGGATTGTAACGGGGCTTGGGCGCGAGGCGCACTATCATGCTATCATCGTCACGCGTCACCCATCAAACGTGCATGTAGGTGGGGCTGCTCGAAGACTTTGTGTGTAGTGTGACGAAGTACGGGCATAAGTCTCGCGACTTTGTTTTCATTGTGAAGGAGGCCTAAACGTGACGCGTTACTCAACAAACGTGCGTGTAGGTGGGGCTCCGCGCTGGCTCTGCATGTGTAGCGTGACGGGGCTCGGACGCGAGGCTCGCGGCGCGCTGTGCGAGCGGCTCGCGCCGCACTGGCGCCGCGCCGCCGCGGACCCGCCGCCGCCCTGCCTGCACTTCAACAAGCAGAAGCCCGACTTTTGGCTGCTGCCCGAACACTCTGTCGTGTTACAGGTACGGCACGGTATGCTGCAGCTATATTATATTTGTAGTACGAATTGGTCGGCTCGACCGGAGTATACACTATATTATGGTTGTGGTACGTGTGAGTCGGCTCGAAGGAACATGCTCTCAAAAAACAAAATTTAATTAGTAGCTTAATGCTGTTTTGTTTCGGATGGTGAGCTAGAGATCCGGAGACTTTTTATTGAAAGCATTCTACCTTAGTTTCAGTGGTGGCAGCGCATCTGCTTTTTATAATTCCACACCGATGATAGGTGTAGATGATCATGTGCCTCAACATTCACTTACCAGCAGGTGGACTATGTGCACGCTTGTCACCGTTTTTCTATTTAAAACTTCCACATGCAGAATGATGACGTCGAAGTTAAAACTTTTTATTCTATTAGAGCTCTTATAAACGGCAGAATCTACACCGGTACGCAAAAATAATACCTTCTCAGTGAAGAACCGAGAAGAACCTGGGGTCTATTTTAATAGTACCTAAAGTCAATCCACTATCATCATCATCAGTGTCGACTCCAAACTTGTTGTTACTGTTATTCCTTATAAAGTGAACTGATCTAATTTATAATTCTTCCTGCCTTCTTCCCGGACTTTATTTCTCAAGAAATACTTTTAAGATTGGCTAAGTGTCGCTCACAGTTCAGGTGGCCCCAAGATCTCTGAGCCCAGGTGTACCCTACCCACTTACAACATTACGTAGCTGGCTCAGAGTACAAGTGGTCTCTAAATTTCTCGGACCAAGTGTAATGTCCATTTTCAACGTTGGTTAGTGAGGGCACTGCATCCAAACTTTCACTCCCTAATATCTCTGCTGTCGGATACTTTAAATTTTTCTTTTACGATAACGAAATTCATTGTTTATATTATTATATTTTACTGTAAAGGCGGAGAATAAGTGTTTGTACGTGCAATTGTGAGAGAGCAAGATTAGAATGGTTCTCCAGCATCTTACAAATGGCAAGGTCCCAGGCGAGGATAGAATTACATCGGAACTTCTGAAAGCGGGTGGAAAACCTGTACTTGAAGTCCTTCAAAAGCTCTTTAATTCCGTCCTCCACGGGGGCACTACACCGGAGGCGTGGAGCAGAAGTGCGGTGGTCTTGTTTTTCAAGAAAGGCGATAACGCTCTCTTGAAGAACTATAGACCGATTTCCCTTCTGAGCCGCGTCTACGTGCTGTTTTCGAGAGTCATTACGAATCGTCTCGCGCGCAGACTTGATGACTTCCAGCCTCCCGAACAATCTTGTTTACGAAAAGGCTTTAGCACCATAGACCACATACATACCCTTCGGCAAATTGTACAGAAGTCCGAGGAGTACAATTTGCCACTATGTCTGGCGTATGTGGACTATGAGAAAGCCTTTGATTCCGTCGAAATTTGGGCGATGTTGCAGTCCCTTCAGTGGTGCCAAGTTGACTGTCGATATATTGAAGTGCTGAAGTGTTTGTACAGCAGGACTACGATGGCTATCCGAGTACCGAACCAGAGTACGACACCTATCCAACTGCAGATAGGTGTATGATAAGGTGATGTTATATCAACGAAACTCTTCACCGCTGCATTAAAAGACGTTTTCAAGCTTCTGGACTGGAAAGGATATGGTATTAACATCAACGGCGAGTATATCACTCACCTTCGATTTTCCGACGATATAGTCCTTATGGCAGAATCGCTGGAGGACCTAAGCTCTATGCTCAATGACCTCAATAGTGCCTCCCAACGGATAGGTCTTAAGATGAACATGGACAAAACAAAGATCACGTGTAACGTCCATGTCACACCTATGCCGGTAGTCATTGGGAGAACTAAGCTCGAAGTTGTTGACGAGTATGTATACCTGGGACAAATAATCCGACTAGGTTTGGACTTACCTAGTCGGCCGAGAGGTCAATCGACGGATTCAACTCGGCTGGGTAGCGTGCGGGAAATTACGGCATATCTTCTCGTCAGCTATACCTTAAACTTGAAAATGAGACTGTACAACCAGTGCGTATTGCCAGTGATGACCTATGGAACTGAGACGTGGTCATTCACTGCTGGCCAGATGAGGAAGCTCTCAAGGTCGCTCAGCGAGCTATGGAGAAGGCTATGCTCGGAGTTTGTCTGCGTGATAAACTTAGAAATGAGAATATCCGTAGTAGAACCAGAGTGACCGACACAGCTCAACGGATTAGTAAGCTGAAGTGGCAATGGGCCGGCCATATAACTCGGACAACCGACAACCAATGGGGAAAAAAGGTTCTCGAGTGGTGGTCTCGTACCGGCGGACGAAGTGTAGGGCGTCCCCCCACTAGATGGAGTAACGACGTGGACAGTGCTTTGTGGCATTACTTGGGGGAGGCCTATGTTCAGCAGTAGACTTGTGAAGGGCTGTAATGTATGTATGTATATGCAATTGTAGACCATAAAAACACTTGTTCCATGTGGGATTCGAATCCTGCTGCGCAATAATTTGATATTTTTTCGCATCTTGTTTTTGATTATACTTTCGCAGCTGTGATGTGCTAAAATGCCATTTATCCTTTGCAGGTCCGTGCTTCGGAGCTAGTAAGCAGTAATTCGTATGGCACTCCCTACACATTGCGTTTTCAACGCATTATTAAAGTTCGGTATGATAAACCTGTGAATGACGTTATGACTTTGCAGCAGTTTGAAAAAATTGTTTCGGTAATTTTCTGTATTTTTCTTAATAAAAGTTTATAAAAAAGGAACTTGTAACGTAAAGATAACCATCGCTAGCGCTGTGATGAAATTTAAAGTATTATTAAATAGCTTACTCCAGTATCAAATATCCTTAACCTTTACTTTTAACCTACCTGTTAAAAAATACCAACAGACAAATGATCTTATTTTGACAAAATACCACTCCGCTTGTGGTTACCGCTTGTTGTTGCGTACGTACCAGCGTGTGTTTGGGGTGTGCGAGTGTGCGTGCGTGCGCGCGTGACTTACTACGTATTTACATTGTTTTACGCGAACTATAGTTGATTTCATATTTAAATTCGTTCTCATTTGGAAGACCCACTTAGTTTCATATATTATTTCTGTGCGTTGTAATTCTATGTCTAAATATATATTCATTTCATTAGCACTAACCAACTACACAAATAAGACATATTCATACACTCACGTATACGCTAATACGCATGCACATAAATACACATTCACATGTACAAACGCATCTTGCACTTTGCGCATAATTTTTTACTTTTTAACCGACTTCAAAAAGCATGCTGTGGCCCATAGACATCTACATTTATGTTCAATTGAGATGCGTTGTCACCCCTGAGGACTGAGATGGAATGCGTCGTTTCTAGTAAAAAGGTAAAGGGTCTCCGGTTCTCTACACTCACCATACGAAACACAGCAGCGTTAAGCTGCTATTTTACGCTGGTATTCTGTGAGAGCGTGGACCACCCCGGCCGAGCCGATCCATTGGTGCTTCAATCACAACATGCTCGTAGCTGCAGCATGGCTCTACCACGTAACGTAATGTGTGTTACCTCATAACTTTTTTCTAGGTGAACCGATTTGATGATTCTTTTTTTTATTTGAAAGCTGGTACTTCTCATGTGGTCTCATATAAATCGGTAGTTTTTGAGTTATGCTTAATAATTTATATTGAAGTCGGTTGTACAAAATTTTACCACTTGTTACTGTAACACTTATCCACTGCATCAATACTATTGAATGTAATGACAAACCTTTGGATCTCATGACACTTACTTACCGGCTTAGTTTGGAAACTAATGTTTTGTATTGTAATATTGTTTTTGTGGATAGTAAAATAAATAAAAAAATATTACGTCAACAGTCTAATAAGGAGGTGGTGAAGCTCAGTAAAAAAATTAATCAAGAACAAATCGACAATGTTTCTATGATACCTCGTAAAAAGCGTGTCGCTAAGCCCCTTAAAGTAGCCGAACAGTTCCGAACCCAAATCAGTGGTGAAGTGACAGTGAAGTCACAAGCTTTGCTCGGGAGGAAGATTTGTATACTCTCTGACGACGTCGACTGCGACAAAGCGGAGTTGGTGAAAATTATAAAGTCGCATGGAGGGAAACACGAGGAAAACTATGGTAAGAGTCCTCATATTATAATAACTAGGGATCCGCCCCGGCTTCGCACGTGTGATTTTTGTATCTTGACAAAAGCGCCACCTACCGGGTCCGATTGTGAATCTAAACCATCTTGATCCCACTCAAAAACACAAAAAAATATACCTATAAGAGCTTATAGTTTGAAAATGTGATTTTTTTAATTAACGCCCCCGCAACTCCACTCGCGGGTGGAATTTCGTAAAATCCGTAGCTGACCTCTACTCGGCGAAACGAATATTCCTACCAAATCTCAAGTCTCTAGGCCTTATGGTTCCATAGATATCGTGATGAGTCAGTACATAGGTGCCCCCTCATATTCCATACCATACCCCAATCATCCCGTGGGTGTCCTAAGAGTCGACAGAGGGAAACGAAGCAATGGATGCTTTCCCACTAACAACTCAAAACAATAAAAAAACTGCGTTTGCGAACCCGCCTGCAGTGTAGTAACTATGGTAAATGAGGTACTTACTGTATGAGGCAATCTATGAGGGAAGCTTATGTTCAGTGACCCATGTAGTCGATTGTTTGCTTGGCGGTGTGCGACGAGGCGTTGTCGTAGTGAAGGAGGATCCTACTGCGAGGTCGTTTCTCCCGAACTTTTTCCAAGATAAATAGCAAACAATTGCTAGTGTAGCATTCTGCAGTAACTGTTTTTCAATCCACTAAAACAATTGTTGCGTAATGACCTGTCCTTCAGAAGAACGTCCATCTTTTTTCCCCACGCATCGACTTCTCTTCACTTTAGTTGGCAACTCCTCGAAAGGAAACACCCAGACAGCAGACTGTCTCTTAGTTTCAGGATCATAACAATAAATCCAGCTTTCGTCACCCGTAAGTATGTCGAACACAGCCTTTAAGTCACCTCCGTTAAATCTTTGAACCATTTCACGACACCAATCAACACGACGGAGTTTTGGGCCTCTGTCAAATTATGAAGTATCCACCGGGCACAAAGCTCCCTGACCGCTAAATGTTCATAGAGGATTTTGTGCACTTGACCCATACCGATGCCTAAGCTTGTCCGAATCTGCTGATAAGTCACTTTTTTATCTCTATCATATGCCGCACAACAATGATGTTATCTTCAGTCCTCGCCGTAGAAGGTCGTCCCCATTGAGTTATACAAGATTAAATCAATGGCCGTCTCTCACGCAGATCATCGGTGAGATTAGTGCGACCACGTTTAAACTCATTAAACCAGATATAAACAGTGGAACGAGATGGGGCTGCATCGTGAAAGGCCAATCGAAGTCTATCATATCTTTCTTGTTGACTTAAGAAACTCGTGTCAGTGCATGTTAGGTAGGATAGATCTATTCGGTAAAACCATTGAACGAAAGAAAAGGGGCCTCGCTAATGCAACTTCGCGCACGCTTGTATTAGTCCAGGCTACGACTCTGATCGTAAGCTGTAATTAAAAAAAAAAGTCCCGCTGGTTTTCTTGCTGGTTCTTCCCAGGACAGAGGTTTTTTTATCGAACCAGTGGTAATTAAACAAAAGAGTGACTTTCAATAAGTATTACCAGCGTATTTTAATTAATTTCTATTTCGTTTTCGTAAAAATCTTTTTGTTTAAATAAAAATGAAAGAAGAACTATTGATATAACTGGTTCAACAGTATCCAGAATTGTTTAATCATGAAGATCCACATTATCACGATGAAATAAAAAGATCTCTTCATCCGAGCTGTCTATGACGCAAAAACGACCTATTTTGATAAAGAGTTTGCGATGAATGAACAATTAGATTAGATTCGTCAGACATGGACGCACTAGGAATAAATGCGACTCGCTTCGATTCGACGCATTTCTGCTGTAGTCGACGCCAGGCTTTATAGTGGCTAACCGGCTAATTTATTCATAGGGTCATTCATATGTATAAGGAAATATTAAATATAGGAATGTTTTATTGGCCTTTAGTGCTGCATATTGTACTGCAAATAATTACATTTGATGAAAGAAATTCTCGTCAACAGTTTTAACACATAAAGTAAAAATGGCAAATGAGCATACAGTCTACCTAAATAATTAGTGGATGCTGTTGTTCGTACACACCTTTCTTTGTCCTTTATGAATCAAATTGCATATGCATTGTCGCCCCTGAGGACTAAGATGAAATACCTCGTTACCATACGAAACACGGCAATATTACGAGTATACTACTATTTTGTGTGAGTGTTGTTCTTTCCCGCTCGACCCCATTCATTCGTGCTGCAGTCATAGTACAATTCAGCCTGGTACGAGTACTACCACCTATTTCGTTTCGTTTTCATAACAGAAATTAAAATTTTTGTGTTTAACATCTCGTATACTGTCAAATTAATTCTAAAGTAGTATCTAGTAGTAATAATTGCATATTAGTATTTATAAGTATTATTGATTTACCTGATACAAATCAATAAATTAAAATCGACTTAGCCTAATGATTACGGAGCGGACTGGCACTCGGAAAGTAGTAGGTTCAAATCCGCCATTTAACTATACTAATGTTAATCACTCGCTGCTCGCGGTGCAATAAAATGGGGAAACAAGAAGCCGCCTATTGCACTCTCTGACGCACTCCGTTTCCCGATTTTATTGCACCGCAGGGAGCGAGTGTTTAACATTAGTATAATGTGGTAAACCATCACTAACCACAGATTGACTAATGGTTCCCTAACATAAGAACTTTTAGCTTCCTTGGAGTTGTTAATAAGAATACATGTTAGTAATATTAATAGCCTTATACTTAATAATATAAACAAGGAATATATAATTACGTTAGTATATTATAATTAACAGGTGCAGACACATGGTGTTGTGTTGCTGGACGACTAATAGATCACGTGCGATTTTTAATAAACAAGAAAACTGTGAACATTGTCAGCACATCATGGCTGAGGTCCCTTCCCGAATCTGAAACTTTATGTTCCCTGTCCCCGCTCGATATGTTGGCGATAACGAAGGAAATGAGACTGAAAATGAGCCTCGATTATGACTATTTCGGCGATAGCTATAAAGAGCCAATAGAAGTGGACACGTTGAAGAAATGCTTTGAGAAGATGGACAGCGATGTGAGTGACAGAAATTTTACGATTTTTTTTATGCACAAGGATGACTCCTTTGTTATGGAAGCGTTATACCCACACATACACGATTGCACATGGACCAACATCGCTCTAGTCGTAGACCTCCGTGGGTCTAAATTTTAATCCGCTTCTGGATGCACACATACCAATAGGTGTTTGCCCGTTTGTTACTCTTACCTTGTACTATTATTTATTCTGTGCCCTTAATTATTTATAACTGTCGATCTTTATTTTGGGTTTTCGTTATTCATATATTATGCTTTTGTTGCTCTTCGTATTCAATGTGATGTCTGTTCTTAAACTATTCAATTGTGCAAGTCAAATAATGTTGCTTAGGTTACTAAATCCTATTTAGCCAATATATTTAGGGTTTCAATTTTTTTAACATTTGGTCCCCAGTTTAATTTATATTAAATACTTCAAACTAAACGTTAACAAAATATTCAAACTAAATATTATGTATACATAATAATAATATACTTTCAGGAACCGAAAATGTATCTTACAACACAAGAGAAAATAAAAGTAGATAAAGAGCTCTTTGAGGAAAATAATCCGTTTTCTTATTTGCGTCCTTGTTTTTTGTCGCTTCCAAAGAGCAATCGAATTTATGCTATACGGGCGCAAATGTACGGCGCTACGATATGTGACCTGGATTCTGGAAATGTGACACATGTAGTTATACCGAAGAGTGCTTCGTCCCGTGATAAAGAGGAAGCAAAGAAACGCAATGCTCTTTTGGTCTCTGAAGAATGGTTGGACGCATGCTTTGCCGAAGGGAGATTGATTTCAGAAGCATTGTTTATATTTTCCTAAATAATTTAATCATCGACGTAATGCAATAAAAATTAAATTAAATCTAATTAAATATTGCACATTTGTTTTATTACTTAAACAATTATGCAGTTATAATAAGCTCATAATCATGGAGTATTTTAATGGTTTATGTAAATAGGCCAATTTTTGGGTTCCATACCCAAAGGGTAACCAACGTGACCCTATTACTAAGCCTCCGCTGTCCGTCCGTCAGTTTGTCTGTCAGCGGACTATATCTCATGATACGTAAATAGACAGTTGAAATTTTCACAGGCACATAAATTGCACAAGGACAAACATCCAGACCCGGAACAATTTTGTAAGCCGTACAAATACTTGTTCCGTGCGGAATTCGAACACGCGGCCCCCAGCGCAACAACTCATTGCTAAGTCACTGCGCCAAGGAGCCGTCGATCATTGCATTATATAATCACTAAACTTATCTGTGATCTTACATTTTGAAATGTTGTATTTTTGACGATTGTTATCGTTCCAGTAATAAAGAACTTTTGGTAGTACTTAGTAGTTAGTACCAATCTTTGATAAAGATTCGTCTTCTGACACAAGTTTGTTCGGGCACTCGACGACGTGTTCCCGAGAAATGTTAGAATTTAATTGCGTAGGGACAAACGTCCTGACCCGGAACAATTACTTGTAAGTTATAGAAATACTTGCACTGTGCAGAATACAAACACGTGGCCCAGAGGACAGCAACCAGATTTAGGACTGCCCTACAGAGTTTTAGCTCAACAAGACCTCAAATCCTTTTATTTAAGTTTCAGTCCTTTTAGTACACGAATTTTTATTTAAGTTTTTAGAATCAGTATGTCTAAAAACTAAAAACAAATGATACTTCATATTTAGGTCATGCTATTACTATCTGAGTGAGCTATATATATATATATATATTTTATTAGTTTATTACTAGGTAACCTAAATTCCATCATTGCAATAGTTCACCAACTTGCGTGCTACTGTGTGTTTAATGTTATAACTTATTATTTCATATGGAATGCTATAACTAAAACTTTTTTTAAGCAAAAATTTAATAAAGCGATGAACCGCTCTGTTGGCGAACAAAATTCATTAGCGTAATCAAATGCACTCATCCGCAAAATGAATCAAAAGCGTGCGTAAACTTAACAGAAAGTTCGTTTGTTCGGCTTCGGCGCAGAGCGCGTCCAATTATTGTTCTATATTGTGTTAGTCGTGCTTATTATGTAGAGAACAAGGATATACTGTTGGATAAGGTGCATTCAGTTCACGCTTTGTTTGATTGTAATATAAAGTAACTCTTACGGGACTGATTTCAACAAACTATGTTATCTAATGTATAATGAAATGTTAAATGATTATCAAGCTAGGGTACTGCATATAATATGTATTAATTTTTACATTGGTATTAACTGGAGGTTTAAATTTTTTTGTAAATTATAATGGAGTGTAAGGATAGGTAACAACTTTTTCTCGAGATCCCAACGTGGTATTCTGCTGACAAGAAACTTTGTGATGTACCGCAAAAATCTGATTAATCGTGTTTCGGCTGCAGAAGGTAAGAAGAGTGGTGCATCATAATGCCTTACTCCGCCGCGGCCCTACTAACTATAGCGCCACCAATTTTTATCTTTTCTATGACTCCATCTCGGCCACGATGATAAAGGGAAGGGGGCTTTCCTATGCTCGTAGTTCACTAAAGTGCATGCGAAACTTGCTCGCCAAACCCACTGGAACCGGTCACATCGCACCAGTCATGTAATTCCTTAGTTCATCGTGAGCTACACGACGCCTACATAATGTTTTATGTTGTAAGGGGTGTAATTGGACGTAGTTATGCAATAAGGATCCAAACCGGGATAAGTTAAATTTAGTTTATGATATTTGAAGTATCCATACTTCAAATATCATAAACTCAAATTATCGGTATGGTTTCTGTCTGTTTGTAATTTTTGTTCTTATTTGTGTTACGTTTGCTAAAACTGTTACATCACATAATAGTATAGACCACAAACATTATTTTTGAAGTCAACATTTTTGACACAAACACGGGTTGGATCCTTTTTGCATAACCACGTCCAATTTTGACACTATTGAGGTCATTAAGCATAGTACTTAAGTCCTCCAGCGATTCTGCTATAAGGAATATATCGTCGGCAAATCGAAGGTAAGTGATGTTTTTTTTTTTTATAGGAGTGGGGGCAAACGAGCATGCGGCTCACCTGATGGTAAGTGACTACCGCCGCCCATGAACAACTGCAACACCAGGGGAATCGCAGATGCGTTGCCGGCCTTTTAAAAAGGAGTACGCTCTTTTCTTGAAGGTCCCTAAGTCGTATCGGTCCGGAAAAATCGCTGATGGTAATCGATTCCACAAGGAGATCGTGCGAGGAAGAAAACATCTTCTAAATCGCACAGTGGCGGACCGCCAATCATCCAGTTAATATTGTATCATTTCCATTCCAGTAGCCTGAAATTGTCTTCCAATGCAGCGGTGAAGAAGTCACTCTGTCTTACCCATCTCTCAACAAGAGTCTCTCAAAAGTTTCGTGCTCTGATTCTATTTTCGGATAGCCATCGTAGTCCTACTGTACAAATATTTCTGCACTTCGATACACCGACAGTCAACTTGGCACCGCTGAAGGGACTGCAGCAACGACCAAATTTTTACGGAATCAAAGGCTTTCTTATAGTCCACATACGCAAGAATAAGTGGAAGATTGTACTCTTCGGTCTTCTGTACAATTTTCCGAAGGGTATGTATATGGTCTATGGTACTAAAGCCTTTTCGGAAACCGGTTTTTTCGGTACGCTAGAAGTCGTCGAGTCTGTGAAGCGAGACGTAACAAACGAAAACAACACGTATTCTTGGCTCAGAAGGGAAATCGGTCGGTAGTTCTTCAGGAGAGCGTTGTCGCCTCTCTTGAAGAACGAGACCACCGCACTTCTGCTCCACACTTCCGCAGCAGTGCCATGGAGGACGGAATTAGAGAGCTTCTGAAGAACTTCAAGAACTGGTTTCCATCCTGGCCTAGGGCCTTCCTGTTTTTAGGTGCTGGAGAGCCATTTTAATTTCGCTCAGACTGACGTCCGGGATATCATCAAAATATTAAAACTTGCTCTTGGATCGTTACTCACACTTGCGTGTGGCTCCAACAATGATGTGTATAGCTGTCCTTAGATTCTCTCAATCTCACTCAAAATCTCAGGTGTCCCGGAAGCGATGCTGCCATATTCGGTCTTTAGCTGAGACAGTTGGCTCTTTCTGTCAGATAAATCTTTGGCCAATACTGGAGCCTTTTTATGTTCAGTTTGCCTCTCACTATTCGATGATCGCTGCCTGTTTTCACCCTCGCGATCACTGGGACATTACTGAATAGCCGTCTAGTCGTCTAATGAATCAATCTCATTTTTCGTCGAACCGTCGGGGCTCGACCAGGTCCACTTTCTGTGGGGGCGTTGCTGCAAGAAAGAGTTAATCATAAAGAGTCCCTCTTTCTTCATTAAGTCGGCCAGCTGTTGGTCCCTTGGGTTCTGTTTCCCTATTCCAAATTTCCCTACAGCTCACCGTTACCTCTTGTGCCTAGTTTTGCGTTGAAGTCTCCCATTAACACCGTATGGTGGGTTTTGGAGGAATGCATGGATCTAGAGATATCTTCAAATATTTCCTCCACCTTCTCATCGGAATGTGCCGAAGTTTGTGCGTTTTTTATAGAATAAAGGTGACAAACGAGCACACAGTCCACTAGATAGTAAGTGGTTGCTGTGGCCCTTAGACATCTACATCTGCCTACGTTTGCGAATTAAAAGGCAGATGCGTTGTCAGCTGTGAGGACTAAGATAGAATGTCTCTTTGCCAGTAAAAAGGGTCTCCGGTTCTCTACACTCACCATATGAAACACAGCAGCATTAAGCTGCTATTTTACGCTGGTATTCTGTAAGAGAGTAGTCCTTTCCCGGTCGAGCCGGCCTATTTGTGCTACAACTATACTATTAATATAGCTGCAACATGACTCTACCACGTAAAAAAAATAAATCTCTACCACGTCTTTCAACGAATACCATTTGGTGTTTCTGAGGGTACGCAACCCCTCCCCCCCTCCCCGAACGGGTCCCCACCTTGTCGTGGCGAGGGGGCTTAGTAGCCGTGGCTTGGTTACCAGCGGTGAACAAGAGAACCCCTTGGCTTGCCTGTGGTATAGGGCCGGCCCGAGGTGGCCACTCTGAGTGGGTTTGGCGAGCCCATTTCGGATGTGTGTCGGTGCGCTGCGGTGAGAGGGTTGTCCTCTCCCCCTACCGCTGCAGCTGAGGTGGAGTCGCGGAGAAAGAGGAGTGTTGGTATGGCGATGCGCTACTCGCCCTATCCTCCGCTACTCTGGCGGGGCGCCAACGTGAATGCGGTGGTGGTAGGGCCGCGGGGGGAGAGGAGTGTCGGTATTACGAGGTGCCGCTCTCCCTACCCTCCGCGGCCGAAACTTGGTTGGCGGCGGAGCCAGAGACCAGATACGCCGCTGAGGTCGAGAAAGCGGGTGCTACTAAGCGCTCGATTTTCCTGGCCCCATGGCCTCCTTGTATCGGACTCGGGAGGGAGGGGGGGGGGTCCGATACGCAGGTGGAGGGGCGCGTACCTTGTGTTCCTGGTGCGCCTTGCCTGAGAACGAGAATGGGGAGGAGAGGTCCCCCCTCGAAAAGGGGCTGTCATGGGGCGGCCGGCGCTGGTGGGGCCGCGGATGTGTGTGAAAGCGTTCCCGTGGCCCTGCCAATATGCGGCGAAGGTGGAACACCATGGGGTTTTAGTCGGTGCGAGTCCGACATAACTCGTCCTTCCCCCGCGAGTAGGTATGCGTAGGCATTGCCTCATGTAAAAAAAAAGGGTAAGGTACGCAACTCTCGTCAACACACTCCTTGACACAATCTTTACAACGTTGTTAACGAGAGACTTGTGGACGATAAATCCAACTCCTCCTTGGGACAGATGGTCGTCGTCCCGGTAATAGAACAAGTTC